ATATAGTACATGGTCCTTACTTTTAGAGCATATAATTAACAAGTCAAAACCAAAAAGTCTCAACTTTTTATTTTTAGTCTAACCCATAAAGTCTTCTTTATGTTTTTTGTGCCAATATGATCAATTACTATACATACACCAAAGTGTTATAATCCTATCCATTTCCGATCTTCAGATTAGAACACCTCGCTACCAAAATAAATTTTAAAAACCCTTTTTTTTTTTTTCCCCTTCATGCAATTCCCAACCGTTCATTTAAGATATCGACTGGTCATTTCATGAATAAAATAGAGGGGATCTCGTTCATAACAATAATGATCACCGACAATAAAAATTAGTAGAAAAGTCATTTACAAAGCAAACCCACGTATGTAATAATGTAGATCAACAGTGTTATAGCATTATTAAATTAATACATACAAAGTATAACAAAATTAACAACAACAATGAGAATTAAAATCAGATTATTAACACAACAGATTTAAATCCTAAAACCTTGACTAAATCTAATCAAATACCCACCAAAAAAAACTGATCAAACAAATATTACACATAATGAATAACATAAACATGATCATATCTCATTAAAAACAATTCTTATAAATTAACATGAAATACACAATCTAATTAATATAAATTACATTGATAAAAATAAAAAAAAAAATACCTTGAAGGCAATCACAATTCTCAGCCTCTTTACGAACAACATCAAGAACAGAGTCAATAAGTTCAGCACCTTCGGTGTAATGACCTTTAGCCCAATTATTACCAGCACCAGACTGACCAAAGACAAAGTTATCGGGCCTAAAGATTTGGCCCAATGGGCCGGATCTGATACTATCCATGGTACCGGGTTCAAGATCCATGAGGACAGCACGGGGGACGTATCGGCCCCCGGCCGCCTCATTGAAATAAACATTAATACGTTCTAACTGAGTATCAGCTGAACCACCTTCAACAAGGCTAAACCTCCCAGTTTGATCAACACCATGTTCATCACAAATTACCTCCCAAAATTTTGAACCTATTTGGTTACCACATTGCCCTCCTTGAATGTGCAAGATTTCCCTCATTTTGTTTTTTTTTTTTTTTTTTTTTTAGTTTTTTGAAATTTTGCTAAAAGGAAATAAAAATGAAGATCTGAAAAACAAAAATGGTTGCACAAAAAATAGAGAAATGTTTTGTTTGCAGGGGAGTTGAGGGGGTGTAGGAGAGAGAATATATGGGGGAAGAGTTTTTGGAGGGTAGAGGGGAGAGTGCTGACAGTTGGCACCAGGGGTAAGAGGTGGAATTTTTTTTTTTTTTTTGTTATCCTTTAATTACAGCATTATATTTGTCAATGCACAATTTGTAAGAGTAATGTTTCATCTTAATTACTCCGCATATGTTTTTTTTTTTAATATTGTATTTCAAAATTATATGTCTTCCATTTTCTTATGTTATACAGCTTATACTGTAATCCGTAGCAATCATCATTTTAGTAATTTTCATAAATATTGCAACATTTTTTATTTGCGTATACTTACTCTCTGTCTCTTAAATTTTATGTCTTTCTATATCTCTTTTCATGTTAAGATCCTTACAATACCCTGATGTTACAAATTTGTAATAAACTAGCCTAAAATAAAAAGTTCAACACTTCAATCTAAAGAAAATAGAAAAGTATTTTAACTTTAAAAAAAAAATTGTTTGGGGTGATAAATTAAAAAAAAAAAAAAAAAAACAATAAATGAAGAGGCGGGATATTTTTGAAGAGTAACCGCTTGGTTTATTTGGCAGTTGTAATTTTATTTTTTTTTTAAATTTTTTGGTTGTTGATTAAGGAAGGTGAGGATGAGGGTGAGAGTGTGGGTGTGGGGTCCCACGTTTTAATATTGAAGTATTGATTGATTTTGATATTCATGGGTTGTATGGCTGACCAAATTGGACAATTTCAATGGAAATTGTAGCAAGAGTACAAATTATTAGCAGATTGGATCTACCTTTTGCCAGATGCATACATATTTTCATAGTTTTATCACTGTTTTTGAGAATTATTATTACTCTTTAATCATTGATCGTAGAGTACTTCACCCGTTTTACATCATTGTGCATTGTTCACAGGTTGGGCTGTCAAGCTGGATGTTTGAAGTCGGGTTATACGTAGTTGGGTTCTTTTTGTTCGGGTTATAGTTGGGTTCATATTGGTCTACAGTTTTATTCGGATCCCTTCTAGAATTTGTCATATTACTTACATACACTCGAGTGTACCATTCAACCGAGATCATTTGCTCGTTTAATCAACAAATAAGCATTTAACTTAATTTTTTTTTTGGTGTTTAAAGAGCCACCAAGGCGGGTGATGAGAATCGATCCCAAAATCTCTTGTAATCGGGAGGGGAGCTCTAACCACTTGAGATATCCCTCACTCTCAGCATTTAACTCATTTGTTGATTGAATGAAAAAATTAGACCTGGTGTACAATGCACCTGGATGTACATACTTCGTATTAGGTTCTCGATCTCTTCTAGTTATCCTTTCGAGATTTAAACGATTTAGTTCAAGTAAAATATGAGTCAATGAAAGTCAAATGTCTATTAATCACTAACAAAAGATCAATTTTATAACAGTGATTTAGATCTATAACAAGTTAAATTGAATTGAAGTTGGGTTAATAAGTTGAGTTGGTCAAATAACAAATTGGATGGAATGCCTCAAGTCAACAAGTGAATTTAGGCCCCATTCATTTCACCTTATTTTTGCTGAACTGAAATTATTTTTAGTAAATTGAATTATTTATACTGATTTTCTTTTATATTTCTTCTTTAAAATTACTGATTTTTGCTAAACTAAAATTAATTTTAATGAACTGAAATTATTTTTACTGAACGTGGCATGTTTACTTAAATAACTCTAATGTTGGGCAAATTTTAGGAAGGCTTGTTTAGCTGCTAGAGTAAATTAATAATTTCCAATGGAATCATGGTAATTATCAAGTCAATATTACATTGTCATATAATTCCACCTAAAGAATCACTCGTCAATTTAAACAAAAGCACATATGTGAAATTCATTGTTTGAAGATTTGATAAAGATTCCGAAATAAATTTGACATACAAATTAACTCTATTATGAGTAAATTGGAGTAGCACGATGAAAATAGAAAGGAGGTAACCACTTATAAATTTGACATAACTACTCGGTTTAAATAATGAAATTTTGATAATAACCTCTAAGTAGGGATTTGATATTTCGTACGAGATTAAGGGGGCATATCTCGTATTAGAAGTACTCCATTTGTCCCTTATTTTTTGCTTCTTATGACTCATAAAGCTCTCATAAACAAGTGGGTCATGGAGCAAACAAAAAGAGATTGAAAAAGTAGTAGAGTAGAGGGTATTTGGTTCATAAACGAGAAAGGAAAAGAATCTAAGAAATAAAATTGAGGATAATGGAAAACAAGATCCACCCCCCCCCCCCCCCCTCCTTCCCCTTCTTAAACATCATCACTTTTTCTTTATGTTCTCACCGCTTGTGCACAGCCTCTCTGACCAACCACCACCTCCCTCCTTCCTCCACCATCATCATTCCTCACGGCAGTCTCCTATTTCCTTCTCTCATCAATGATCTCCTTCAACTTCAACACCTTGCCTCTACCCGTATTTGAACACTCACTGATTTTAACGGTTTAACACGACCATGCAAAGTTTGGATCTAGAGTTAAGTTTTCATAATCGAATTCAACCACCTGACCTCTTAATTATCAATATAAAAAAGATATCTTTCCTTTTATTTTGTACTCCGTAATAAATTTATAACTAATACTACCTCCGGTCCATATTACTCGCAACTTTGGGTATTATTTATGAGATATAAAATATTCCAAAGTTGCGTGTAATTTGGACCGGAGGTAGTATAAGTATAAAATTACATATTTTCAGTATTCCTTTTCATTTGTCAGGTCTGATCTTGAACAACTAAATTTATTATTTTTAAGTCAATATTACCTAAATGTTCAAAGGTTGACCCGACCCTAAATGACCTGGTTCGAATTGAGTCCGAAGTCTTGACCAGAAACTCGACTCACCACAAATGAATCAACCAAAAATGACTTAATTCGAAATTGACCCGAAATCTCTACCTAATCCAAAATAACCTAATCAGAATTTGACCTCAACAATTAACCCAAAGCCCAACCCGATTGTCAATTGACAGGAACATATACAAAACCCAAAACCCGAGTTGAACCAACCAAACCCACCTCAAACCCAAAGGCGGCCCAAAAGAACCCACCTCCCGGAATTTGGTGAAAATTCTTACACCCTGGCCATGGTTATTTGTTGCTCATTTGATGATTAAATGAGCAAAATAATCAACATGAAGAAAAAAATACCCTCCTGGTTATTTGTTGCTCATTTGACTGACACCTTATACTCGCTTCCCTTTATCCTCCCTCGCATCTTCTTCTCATCTCAATATCCTTTTCTATTTTGTCCCCCTCTTTCTTGCTATTTGAACTCTAATCATTCACAATTTTGGTCACAACCCAAGCTCTTGTTGCAAAATTGCAAAAGAGAAATGAGTCAGATGACATCTCTTTCCCTTAAATTTTGATCTGATGCAAACCCTGTTACTCTTTCAATAATCAAGCCACCAATGTGTGAAATGGATAGAGCAACTAGCTACTAACCAAAACATAGCTTAGTAACCAAAATTTACCCAGAATAATATTGATCAAAATCAACATTTATGCTTTCGTATTTATGTATAACCAAGAAAAAATTGCAATCAATCAATTAATCATGATAGCCCAACCCGATCCCTCAAGAGAATCAAAAGTAGAGAGGTACAACTCTTTAACTCATAACATAGAATGCTCCAGTCATACTCAACAACTCAACACAACCATAAGAGCTAACACATCAAAGGTACTGAGGCAGACCTGATAACCTCAATACAAGACTAAAAATCAACATCAAATGACAGTAAAAAAAATTTGAAGGGAAAAAAAAAAAGAAAAATGATCAAACCTCTAGTCCTCTACCATTTATAACAATACCAAGAAAAAGATGAGATTTGCACACATAAATTTTGGGCGAACCTAAATGATACCCGCAAGGGAATCATTCTCAAACAAACCAACCTAATCAACCAAGACGAAGTAACTACACAAGAACTCCAATCTATTTTTCTAACCTGGGTCGCCATGGAAGGATTGATTTGTTTAGATAAAGGTTCTTTTGAATCCACCAAAATATATGATTTCTCCCCCACTGCTAAAATACGAATGCTGATTGCTTCGCTAACCACTGAGAACGAAATTAAAGATAGAAACTGCTACTAACACAATACCATCAACAAATGCATTATTTTTCAACCGAAAGGGAGAAAATTTTGCACAAGGGAAAATTAATCGAAAACAATTACCAAATTGGGAATAGCTGAAAATCTAAACTAATTAGTACCATCTTCAATTTCTGAAAAACTCTATGGCTTAACGTTGAAGAGCATCATTGCAAATCTTCTTGAAATTGGAAGACTCTTCTACCACGAAATCGCTGTTCCATGAGATCCAAAAGGCACAAATGCAGATAAAATTAGTAACATAGGAGTAAAGCAGTAAACTTCAATAGAAATAGAAAAAGGGCAAACGAAGACTACAGGGAACATTACAATATCCGTGAAGCCATTTCTGAAAGTTCCCATCTAGGACTCCATGGGTACTCAGACATAACAGGTGACCTGACTGGGACCCCTTGTGTGTTGAAATGCTGCAAAGATAAATGTTGAAACAGCATATCAATAACAAATCCTGGTGCTGTGCAAGAAGATATTTAAATGAGCTTTGTCTCATCTCAAAATGACTGATATTAATATTAACCCACCTATTTTAACGACACACGATAAGATTGTTACAAGTAGATAACCGCAAGTTGAAAATTTGATAGCAAAAGAAATTAATATATATAAATAAAGAGGAAGACATCATTTATTTCAAGGATCAAAATATCTGTCCGGAAAGAAATTGATATCTTGTTTCGACAAATGCTCAATTTCCAATAAAAACATGGTACTCTATCTACTACCTCCGTTACAGGTTATGTGCAACGATTTGACAAAAAGTAGAGAGGGAAAATGTCTAATCGTTGCACATAACCTGTAACGGAGGTAGTATTACATACATCAAACTCTAACTCTTAGATATAGCTCTATAGCCTTTATGTACTCACACAAGAGAACAAATTCCCCCTAAGCCTAAGTTTAAACTTCTAAAAGGCTCTGATAGCTTCATGTAGATGAATATCCAATTTATTCTAACACCTAAAATTCCATTTAAAGGTTTATACTATTGTAGATCAGACGATGTCAGCACAGGGGCTGTGATAATGAACCGAGCTCAAGCTTAGGTAAGCTCAGCTCAGCTTGCAACAACTCATAATGTGAGTTGGGTGGGCCAAGCCCAAGTAACTTAAACAAGGGTTACAAACTCCAACCGAGCAAACACTACAAGTAACAGAAACCCTTTTAAAATAATCTGTTAATACTTTAAGGTCCTTGACAATTAAAAGTATGATCGAGATTCTTCATACTACCTCCGCTTCAGGTTACTCGCAACAAAGGACATGTCTGCGGACTCCTAGGCAAAAGATTGAAAACATGATTTTTAAAAAATAAGGGTATATGCTTAACTATTAATCCAACCCAAATATATATATATATATATATATATATATATATATATATATATATATATATATATATATTCAATCTTAATTAAATTAAATAACCCACCACCACCGACACCACCAAGCATCACCGAAACCAGCCACCACCCACTCACCCAGCATCACCGAAACCACCCAACACCGAAACTGATGAACTTAGCACCACCATCACCACCGACACACCAAGCACCACCCACCACCCTTGAACCAAGCAAAACCCAGCCGCCGCAACCCACCGTACCACCCTAGAAAACCCGTAGATCTGGAAAACACACAAAACCAAGAAAACCCTTGAACCCACTACCACCACCAACACAGCGAAACCACTCAACCTCAAACCCACCAACCCACCCAGCAAAACAACTCACGATCCTGCACAATCAAAACCCAGAACCCCAATCAAACCCACAACCGAAACCAAAACCAAACCCACATTCGAAACCAAAACCGAACCCTCAATCAAACCCACGATGCCACCGCACCCACGAACCTAGCATGGCTAGCAACCACGAATAAACCTTCGACGAACCCACAAACCTTTCTCTATCATCAGTTAAAGCTTTAATTGGTCAAATTTAACCATCAAAACACTAGATCTAGAGTTTTAATGGTTAAATTTGACAATAAAACCTTCGACAAAAAGCAAAGGAAGAGAGAGAAAACTGAGGCGGTGATGTAGGTGGTGGTGGTGGTGGTCGGTGGTAGTGGCGGTGGTTATGGTGGTGATTGCCATTAAAGTTGGGTGGATTATGAAGGAAGAGAGCAAAAAACTTATGAAGGAAGATGTTGAATGTAGATGGAGGGGAATGAATTAGGATGAATGTGGTGGTAAGGTAAAATTAATTAACCTTAGGGATTAATGTAATAAGAATAGATTTATAATTTAATTAGGATGTTTAAAAAAAAACTAAGGGTAAAATTGTCATTTCGTAGCCAAAAACTTACTAAATAAGGAAAGAAAAATATTTGTTGTGAGTAATGTGAAGCGGCCCTTTTAGGAAATTGTTGCGAGTAATATGAAGTGGAGGTAGTATCTAGAAGTGAAAATGACTGACCTAAAATACACAATCAACTTATACTCATGAACTTTTCAAATTTCAAGTCGTTCAGTTCAGTTTGGCAAGGTCTCAGGATGAGACCAAACTTGAGTCAATCTTGCTTGATCCAAGCTTTGACAGAACTAAACTCAGGTAACTAGAGCAAACTCAGCTTATTATTACCCATAACTCTTTACACAGTTAACGCATTAAACAGAGACAGAATTTTTACTTTTTAGAAACCATGATAACTCCAACATCCATCAATAGCAGGAATTATAAAATCATCAACCATGACAGTGTCACATGATACACACAGTAAAGCTAAATTCTTAAAGCATGTGGATAAATTTTTGCATTCGTCAACTTAACTGCTCCGGTGCTAGTAAAACACACTCAAATCATGCCAATATTTTCCACTTAGGCTTCAGCATACATATTAAGAAAAGTAGCAAAGGTGGGATAAAATGTGATTACTTTATATATAAATGTTCTTAAAAAAATAATAAAAAGAAAGAAAAAAAAAGGTAGAAAGAGAAAGTGTAAAAATTGAGAATAGAGAAGGATTGGTTCGACACATAGTAGTACAGAAAAGTGGAGCCTTCACAAGGGACGAGGGAATAGTATAACTGTAAAAGAGAGCTGAAACTGATCAAAATAGCTAAATGGAAGAATGTTGGATCGGAGGAGAAACAGAAATGTAATAAGATAATTACCTGTGAGCTTTGAAGGATCAAAGTTGGTTTTTGCTTGGGGAAGTGGATGGGTAGGAAAATATGCACCTGCAATAGAAGAAAAACTAAACATCAAATGATAGACTGGTTGATGACTGAAAAGTTGAAATATTAGACTTAATCCACAACCTAAAAAAGCAAAGAAACACAAATAACAGAAGTGGGGGCTCTGAAGGGGGTGTTTAAACACAAGCAGATAAACACGCATATGAACAAAAGAACAAGAAGAATCCAATATATGAAATTAAGTGCTTTGTTTTAAAAAAATATTCAGACATAATGTTCAACTCAACCATACAGCAGCCATACATCTCCAGTTCTTCAATATCACTTAAGAAAAAAAAAGTTTAAAAAGGAAAACCTATCATACCAAAAATGTAAATACTCCATTAGCAACAAGAAATGTTGCCTCTCTGCAAAATATCTGCAAAGAAGTATAAAAAAATTAATTGGTGAATATATTCAAAACACAGTAGTGGATTTTAACATTTATTGCACATACTGGATCAGCTTCTAAAGGCCTTCCAAAGAAGGTTGATAATGTCTCAATAAAGTGCCTCCTGACTCCAATAAGAGAAACTGCCTCCAGGATCTTGATTATAAAATTATACATCAGTCAGCTATAAGCGACATAATGGGGATCAAACTGAAAATTCATAGAAAGGACAGGGGAAGGGGAACCTGCATCTGCAAAGTCTCTTCTAAAGCAGGAAGATACTCAGCCATGCACCTGAGGATAAGGAACGGATATTAACAGAGGTATGATGGACTTGATGGTGGCAAGAGAAACAAAGGCACACCATCTCTGAACATGGTCCTTTTGAAGTTTCACATGACTTACATTCCATTTAACCAAGTCGGAAGTTTGATATCTTCAACAGAGAATAGAGACTTCAGCTCTAAAGTTGATATTAACTTCAAACGTGGAGCTGAAGGAGCAGATTGATACTTTCTACCAATTGGATATATTACCTGTAACCAAGACATTATCAGTATGGGCCCTGGGGAACTAGGGAAGACTCAAGATAGAGAATGTAGAACCAATATGTTTCTGATATGATTAGAAACTGACTTTTAATAAGAATTGTAATCGTAGCTGCACTATATGTGTCCTCAGACCTTAATCACCTTATTTTAATTGCTTATATATAATCATAAAAACAAATTTTTTTTTTCTTCCACAAAAAACAGAAACCCTTGATATCTTCTGGGAGAGACATTTAGCTTTAAAAAATATTTCTCGCTTCGCAAGATGGCCATGTATCTTTAGACCTTTTGTTATATATAGGTGCTATACTACTTATCTTCAGTTCACTATGCCGAAGATGAGCAAAATAAAGGACTTCATTCCTCTCATTTGAGAAACTTTAACAGCAAAGCAGGGTAACCTAGTATGTCCAGTTTGCAAATGTACTTCAGGCACACAATATGTATCCCATTAGGTACTACACCATAATTTCCAATGCAACAAAGGCAAAATAGCTTTAGCAAAAAGACTATGAAGATAAAATTTAGGAAGGGAAACCTAGTTTAATAGCTTTAGTGTATTACTTGTATGGGCAACTAAATGCTACAGGGTATTACATGTCATCACATCCACAAGTAGTTCAGATATTGAGTAATGACTAAAGAGCTAGCCAATAAGTACAATACTGAAGTAGCACTTCCTCTAACCTAAAATAAAGATATTCTTCACTTTTAGCAAGAAAATTAAAAAGTGTGCCTGTGATTAGAAGACTTTCATCCAATTGCACCAATCTACCCCAAAAAGCATTTATCATTCCATATACTCCGTAATCAACTGTAGAGGAAAATTTGAGAATCTATATAGCTTTACTGCCATTAACAACAAAATTTAACATCATTTGAGGACATTTCAAAATTTGCAAAAGTATTCATAGGCTTATAGTTGTTTGAGCTCTAATACTTGTCTTTGCAACTTATTTGTATCTATAGCCTGCCCTAAAGATATCAAAGGCAACACTCTTTGATGCTCCTAAATGTCAAATGAGTTAAATATTCATTAATCTTCTCCCTCATATATAGATCTCATCCCACAGTTTTTTTTTTTTTTTTTTTTTTTTTTTTTTTTTTTTTTTTTTTGGGGGGGGGGGGGTCCTTTACCAAAATACCAGGAGAAGAGATTATCAAGTAAAAACTCTCCAGCTAAAATGATGAAGGGAATAAAAGCGGTAAACTCAAACCAATTATCATTTATTAGGTGCAGACACTGAAACAGCAACCACCTTCCATGCAATGATGGAAACCAAACATCAAATTAACCACACGCCAAAGCAAATATCATATTATTGCCAATTTAACTTTCAATAAGCAATTCAACAGCTCTAGATTCACCCCCCCCCCCCCCAAATTTAATCAATTGCACCTTTAATGGACATTGACATGGTTCATGTTTGAGCTTGGTTTCAGAACATGATCACATTGTACTCAAAACATACCAAGAATATATTAAACCTACTCCGTAACATATATATGGATCACATTAATCAGAGTTCAGGCCATTTATATCACGTCATATTAATCAGAGTTCAGGTCATTTATATAACATCAGGTTTGAATCATGCCGTCATCTCAAGTTAACGTCTCAAAGATAGCCACACCTAGTATGCTGATTGGAGCCAGCAATCCCCAAGCCATATGCATATAACAAAAAGCGGTAATCATAGGGGGACAAATTATTCATTCTTGCTGCAGCATATTCTACATCACACATAGATGCAAGGTGCAAACTGCAAAGTACAAGGCAACTAGCGAAACCCATGAACAACTTGGAATAGAATATGATCACTCATGAACTATCCCCACACAAAAATGCAGGGAGTTAAGGCTGGCAGGACAAAATAAACAGCAAGTAATTGTTCAAAGGTCCTCTAGACAAATCCCCCAAAATTAAAAATTATAGGTTAGGCGAGAGCTAAAGCTTAAGGCCTCATTCAGAGATTCTTTTCACCTTGTATCTACACTTGATAGAACTTTTCCTTAATATAACAGTATCTACTTTAATTTAGTGGTGAACTGAATTTGGGTAGCCCAATTGTAACCTTTTTTTCCTTATCTAAGCTTGTTGGCTTTACTTTTCCTGAAACGGTTTTATTAAGTATAAAAAACCAAAGCCTATGTTTTATGACTAAATGTAACTTGAAAATTTGGCAAGTTTCACCAATTTGTGGGAAACAGAATGGCTAAATGCGTGTTGGAATGCCATAATGAGATCATTTCCTTAGAATAATGAGATCTAACAAGCCCCTGTTTGACAATAGAGGGTGAGTACATTGACATACCTGAAGATAAATCTTTTGCTGTTGTCTCCAGGGGCAAGCAGGGACCATATTATTTATGCTAGTGTCAAGCAATGGTACAGCAAATTTAACCTCCTCTGGCTATGCTAAAGTTTAAAAAAATAGGAAATAATAGTATTATGATACTATCAGAATAAACTCTGACCTAACAAAACTTTAATTGAATAAAAACAATCATTCTTATGCGGAAATACCTTTTCAACTCCAGAACTCAAAGACATCTCAATCCCCTGAAACAAGAAACGATGACAATTAGAATGTATACGCTGACGAACTAATAGTTATTTAGATAAATCTGTCCAATTACATCCCCTAGTCTCTTGCTTAAAATGAATGTCAAGGGGACATGTTGCGATTGTTAAGATAGGAGGAAGTACAACTTATTTGACTCCATCATGCCTTCCCAAATCGAGTAATTTGAATGATCTCCCCACATCTAGTTATTTGGATAGGAATCTAATAAACACAACTTCCTTCCTCCATTTAAACATTATCACCATGTACACTCACTATGGATCGCCTTTGAGTAAAAAATTTAGGAGAAAAACATTTTCAAAGATTGATACTGAATCTATTACATTACCACGACCCCTAAAACCAACACAAAGGCACAGTCTCAGACAAGATAAAGGTATGAAGAGGCATACCTCCCTGGACAGCATAGTGCTAATTTCAAACTTCACCCGATCATCATCAACACCTCCAACACGCTTCCATTGATAAGCTGAATATAATTCCCTGGAGGATCAATTCAAACAAAGTATTACTCCCAACTCAAACAATCGAACTTGTTGATTTAAAATTTATGAATTCGATGAACCTGAGTTGAAGAATGAGAGACAATAATCTAGAAGGGTCCTTGCTGTTCCAGTTGCTTAAATTATGCATAGGTGATTTGCTAGGATCACTTGATAAAACAAAGGGGAGAAACTTATCATCTTCTGCCCCGAATATAACGTCCGGCGGAGCCAACGGACTCTCCACATTGTATATAATATCCCCTGTATATCCATATCCATCAACAAACAAATGAATTATAAAGCTAAAAAGTTACTGGTAATATATTGGGGAAAAAAAACATAGCATAGAGCTCACATTTGATAAAATCGAGGCAGAAGGGAATGAGCAAGGTAAATCGATCATTCCATACATTTTTCTTGGAGCCAGACCACATTTGATCAACCTAAAATTAATCCAAATACATAAATTTAGGGTTTCCGATGAATCAAATTGATAAGCTTAGGGTTTCTGACGATTCAAATTCATTAATTTAGAGATGCTAAATTTGAAATCCATAAAATTAGGGTTTTTGATCATTCAAAATCCTAAATTCAGTGTTTGTGATAATTCAAATTGAAGAACCCTAGAAATTGAAGAATTCGAGAAGAGAGAGAAAAGAGGGAAGAGGATTACCTTGATAGAGAAAGGAGAATGAGAAAGAAGGTGGTTTAGCTGAGCAGCGATGATAGGTGGAACTCCGTCGACCGCCATTGTTGTAGACTGAGAGAAGCTTTGTTGTCGGAAATTCGTTGACAAAGAAGAGTCATCAAACTGATGCCAAACCAGATTTTTTTTTTTTTTTTTTAGCTGAGTTGTAGTTTGGGTCTTTGGTACTTTGGATACTGCAAAAGTCGCTGGATAATTTACTCGGTAATAATTGTACAGAATATACATTACTATTTCGTCTACACTTTATTTGGATGGAAGAAAATGAAGAAAAAGTAAGGAAAGAAAAATGAAGAGATAATATGGATGAATTAAATTTTACTTGTGAGAAACTGAGAAATTAATCTTTCCAACTATTTTTCCTCCCCTTCTTTTTCTTCCTTGTTCTCTATCCACAATTCCACATACACCGGCCAACACGACTAGTATAAATTTCTTTCTTTCATTTTACCTAACAGTATGTTAGGATTGAAGGAAATGGGGAAAAAGGAAGGGAAGAGAGGAAATTTTGCTAACAACTACTTATTATGACCACTTTTGAGAACAACTACTATTTAAAAATATCTTTTTAAAAAAACTACCACAAAGTCACAAAAACTTTGAGTAGCACTATCACGTTTTATTTTACGGGAAGAATTTCCGGTTGAGAAAACCTAGTTTATAAAATTTCAATCAATTGTGGTATAGAAAACAATATATTTCGATAGTAAAACACAATTACAGGTCAATTATCTTTAATTTTGCATTATAGTTTATTTAATTTCTCAATTAAATCTTAAAATTAGGGTTTATGGTCAAAAAATTGAATTAAGGGCTTTACAAAATTGGGGGTTTTGGGGCAATTGAAGTGTATAATCCAATTAAAGGTTAATGTAGTGCAATATTATCATTTAATTTTGGTTTTTTTAGGGAAATTTATAAAATATGCCCCAAAACAGAGATTATTACCAGAAACAATAAATGTGGTAGTACTACTCAAACTTTTTGCGTTTTTGTGGTAATTTTTTCAAAAGAAAATTCTAAATGGTAATTGTTCTCAAAAGTGGTCATTTAAATGGTAGTTATTTGCAAAATTTCCGAAGAGAAATATAAGGATAAAATATCTTTCATTTGAATAATAAATGAGAAAAGAAGAAAATTAAAGGGGTGAGAAAATGAAGGATAAAACTGTACTAAATTAATATTTCCAACAATAGAGATGTTTGAAAGGAAATCTCATTTTTCTTCCCTCCTCTCCTTTTCTCCTCCCTATCCTTCTTTTCTTTTATATTTCTTTATTTATCCAAACACATCGTAAGTAAACTCTAAATCATTTCAAGTTACTTTTTAAGATAAGTTACTTTTTCTTTTTTTTTTTCTTTTTTTTTTTGAACGGGAAGGTAAGTTACTTTACAATTTTGAGTTTTGGCTCTATTTAATTGTGTGTCTTGTGTCAAAGACTCTAAGAGTGGCCATAACAATACAACTTGATTTGGCCCATATTTTCACATATGAGTAAGTTTTTAGAAAGAAACTCAAAAACTTAGCATTATTTAGGTACTAATGAAGTCCGTACGATGTACTAATCGTCTGAGTAATAATCGGTACACAACCCCATCAAAAAATCATGAAGACGAATAGGGGCAGAGCCAGAATTTTTAAGCTAGGGGGGCCGGTGGTTGAATCAATATATAAATATGTGATCATTATCATAACAATTAATTTTTTTTTCTAAATTGCTATTTATGGTTTTTCATATTTAAAAAAAATATCAATAATAGATTACATGTTAAAATTATTGGCAATCTTATTTTCTATGTATAAAATTGTTGTAAATCAACTTGTTGACTATCAACCGTACCACTCACTTTAAAATTAAGAGTTTCTTTTTCATGATTATACCAATCATATCATATATATATAAAAAAGTGATTTATAGACAAATTATTACTAAACAAATAGATAAAAGTAAAAATTTGAATTTTTATACTATAAAGGCGGTAATTTAAATTTTTATACAATAAATACGATAATTTATAAAACTAAAAACTACCCGATTGAAAGATTGAAAGATAAATCACTTTTATTAGAATTGAAGAAGTTTAGTATAGATTTTTTTATTTTTTTGGAACAAAGTTTAGTATAGAATTTAGGTAGAAAAAAAAAAGAGTAAAAAAATAATATGAAAGATAAATTAAAAAAAAAATGAACGATCTACTAAAGTACTAGTGTGACTTAGTAGGATCGAACCTCAAAACAAAGAAGAGAATTATCAGCCTACTAACAACTAAACCACATGAGTTTCTTCTTAATTTAAGTGAAATAGTTAGTACATATACTAAAAAACAGCAGGGGCCAATTAATAAAAGTAAGGGAAACGAGTTTGGGCTACACGGGTCATGCCTATGCCACCCCCATGTAGCTCTGCCCCTGAAGACGAGCTTGGGCTCTACATTCTTCATGTAACTTCCTTGCCGAGCACTTAGGCCCCGTTCTTTAGAACTGCTCTGATCTGCTTTGATCTGCTCTGCTCTGCTAAGCCCTGCCTGCTCTGCTCAAATCAAATCTGTTCTGCTCTGCTCAGCTCAAAAGAAATTTGCTCTACTCTGCTCTACTTTATTTTCAAATAATAATTAGGAAAAATGGAAAAGAAAAATCCAACTTTTGCACTTTTTCCTCCTAAAAATCCAACCTTGATTTTATTCCTCAAAAATCCAACCTTTATACTCCTCCTTCTCTAACAGATCCATTTTACCTTTAACCTGTTAAACAGGTTAATTTTTTTTTTTTAAATTCTCTCAAATTCTTTTCTCACTCCTCTTTCTCTCTCCTCTCTCTCCTCAAAATCAGAAACAACCCAACACCACCAGTACACCACCAACACCACTAGTACACCACCAGAACACCGTACCACCAGTGCACCGCCAGAACACCACCGACCAGCCCCTCCACGCCGATGACCAGCCCCTCCTCGTCATCATCTCTCGTTTCTCCTTTCACTGTTGATACCTTGGAACCCTCCCCTGAATCTCTCATAAAAGGGGTTTTTTTTTTTAATAAATTTGATTGTTAAATTTGTGGGTTTTGTTCAATTTGGCTTGTTTTGTGTTACTACTGACTGATTGAGCTGAATTTCAATTTTGTAAATAATTGTGCTGTTGAATTTTCATGTCGGTGTTGCGGCTGAAGGTTTATGGTGGTGGTGATGGTGGTTGTATGGACGTATGGTATTGTGGGCTACACTGTGTGTGCAATTGTTTGGGCTGAGCAAGGAAGTATAGCGGTTTGGAGTTGGTGGATGTGCGGTTTGGAGTTGGTGGCTGGGCGGTTTGGAGTTGGTGGTTGCGGTTTGCGGGGCTGCTGAAATGGAGGTGGAAACGAGTTGGGTAGTGGTGCGAGCTAGGTTATGGCCGGAAAAGCAGGGTGGCTGGATAGGGAGGGTAAGGAGAGGATGGTCGGAAAGGGAGGTGGTGAGGAATAGTGGCCATATTTAATGGAGGTGGTGAGGATGGTGGCTGGAATTTTTTTTTTTAAAATTTTTTTTTAATTATTTTTGTTTTTTAATAATTAAAAAAAAAAATAATTGACCTATTAACAGCTGACACGTGACATCTAACTTATAAAAACCGGTCATCAACAGGTAATGGACCTTTAGATGAAGAAGGGGTATAAAGGTTGGATTTTTTGAGTAATAAAATAAATGTTAGATTTTTAGGAGGAAAAAGTGCAAAGGTTGGATTTTTAATTTCCATTTTTCCTAATAATTAATAATAACAACAATAATAATTAATATTCAATAATAATAATTAATATTTTATTGATGATAATAATTTATTATTTTTGAATAATTATAATAATTATTAATATTAAATATAATTTTAATAATTATTAATACGCCAAATTCCTGATCATCATGATGAACGAAATTCGTTCATCTTGAGGATAGGATGGCCATTATAATATTTTTTAGGGATACCAATGTAAAATACATCAATGCTACGTGTTCTTTTTTGCCACATTAGAATGGTCTAGTCATTCGCAATCGACTAACGTCGTTAAATGCTTTTGTTTTTTTTCTTTCTTTACCGTTTGATGGTAGGTGGGAACCATTATTGGTGGAATTAATGTGGTCTACTGTTTGTGATTTCAAGGGTTTTGACTTTGGTTTCTCAGATTGATACCACCTTCAATTTTTGGTTATTATTCCGGATTCTATTTTGAAGTTAAGCTGCGGTGGGAATTGCTTTGTCACACCATACAATTGTAAGTGAATACAAATTGTCTACTCTAATATCTCAATTATTTCTATAATTTTGGTTTTCCTTGTTTATTAAATATGAATCGAGCTTTTTTTTCGTTGTATACTTTCTTGTAGTGTTGAATGTAATAATGGGCAAGCGTGACTTGAAATCTTTACAAGTTGAAAACAAAGAAGTAAGCAGGAAAAAATATGTTAATTGTGTATATCACTGTTTATTTATTCGTTAAATTTGATTAAGTCTACAAAAATATGGCGAGATTAATGCAAATAACTGGTGACAGGTTTGGGTCGGCTTCTCTTATAAGAATTTAATTGAATTGAATCCAGATCTATTCAAGGTACAAAACTTTACTTTTGCATACGGCGTTGATGGTGGATACTATGAATTGATGTCATTTTTAACAAGTCATTCCTCATTTTTGTAGGATAATAGGTTGAGTCCTGGGGGTGTGGTGAAGGCAGCCGGGCGAGTATTGAAGGAGCAATCTGATTCAATTTGTCGAGTAAGGGCACGCTAAACCTTTGTCCTTGTTTTGTCTACTTCACGCCTTAGTTAAGAGGATGGATTGGATAGATTGTGATTCTATAATCTCCGATTCAATAGCATTGTTGTGTGTTTTGTTTTTTCATAGTATTTTATTTGAAGTTCTTATTTTATGTAGTCCATATGTTGGTTATAAGAACCTAGTACGTAGGGGCTAATTATCAGATTTCCTCTCCTGAAATGTGTTGGTTAATACAAGATAATGCAAAGTTGAAACTAAAAAACATTTGGTTAGATGAAAGAGATGGTGTTCATGTAGGTTCATTTAAATTTTTAATATTTAACTTTCAATGCTCTCGATATACAAGTCTGAAATTGTCCATGACTAATTTGGGAAATGTATCCAGCCTCCTAATATGAGTTGCCGCATCCACTACTTTGGGCGCATATGTAAGAAGTTTGACGTTAAAAGAACTAGGTGGGTTACCGAGATGGGATTTGGGGGACTACTCCATTTAGTATCAGACATGCATTTACCAAGACAATTAGCATATTGGATAATGACAAGGATAGACCCTTTGAATAGAAGCATAATTGCCCCAGATGGGCGTGTGTTTTCGTTTTCGAATAATCAAGTTCGATGGATACTAGGAATTCCGAACGGCAGCAAGCCTGTTCCAACTTCCAAAATGATGAGTTCCGACGAGCGTGATAAAGTACAGCATGTGCTTATGAAATATGGTAGTTCATGGAAAACCAAATCGAGCAGAGGTTCAGGAAATGTTTACACATCCATAGGTATCCAGTTAACAACCCAAATGATGGATAGGCTACAGGAAAACTTTGGGGACGAATATGAAGAGGAATTCAAGACATTATTTCTTATTGTTGTGCTGCATATGGTGCTTTGTCCAACCCAATCACCTCGACTCGGTTCAGATTTGTTACCTGCCTTAAGTTGTGCAATGGATTGGGTAAACTATTATTGGTGTGATTTGGTGTTGAAGAAATTGATGGACAGTGTATCCAGTTTTAAACGTCGATTTTATGCAAATGGCTTTGCAGGAGGATGTGGTGGTTGTGCCATATTTGCTGTGGTGAGGAACGATATTTCATTGGATGCATGTATTATGTGTTTGTCTTTTTTCTGAATGTAAAACCAAATATATTTATGTTCTAATTTAGTAGTTTATGGATGTACATATTTTCTACCTTGATCGATTAGACAGACATCCAGTACAATGGGATGAGTACCCTAGGATCAAGGTCTGGACCATGACGGAAATAGGCAAGGCGACGAAGGAAGATCGCAACCGTTTAGGTGATTTTGGGATGTTAGGGGTAAGGAATTGCGAAGTGTTGCCTTTATGTGTGCATATAATGATTTTCACAAACATGTTTAATATTGTGTGTTACAACTATTAAATAATTGAAGTATGATGTTTAAACCAATTTTATGGTTAATCAGATGTGTGATTTTGCTTATGGCGAAAAGCACAGGAGAATAGCAAGAGACAAGGAACCTCCCAGCGGGATAGTTGTTCATGAAGTGTGTAGGCCTGTCAAACTGATCGTATTCTTTTTGTTTTAAAAAAATAGAGTATAGATCAGTTAAAGGTTTGGTACATTTTGTTAAAAGTCCTGTGTTTTGTGTCTACAGGATGTTTCCACCTTGATTGTATCATCAAGTGAGCGATGGAGTAGATCAACATTTCGAGCAAATAGGAAGCAACAACGACTCTGCCATACAGTGAAGTTGAAGTACAACAATGTTGATGACTCTGCAAACGATACATAGATAGTGGTGAAATGTACTCCATGCCAAACAAGTGAAAAAACTCCAGTCCAGTATGCTTTGGAAACTTTTTTGAAGCCCTTTGTTAAAATTTGTACCATTTGATTACATGTAGTAGCTTATCCTATATATCTGTGCTCGGTGGCTGCACAATCTAGTCTACCTTTGGATACAATTAGTTCTTTACCTTCAAATGATTCGGATAACACGCCCAAATTGTAGTTAGCTAAAAAATTATAAAGGATATTTGAGTGTATTGAGGACCCTGATATGGGGCTATCAACTCATGTTGTGATTTGTTATTTTGATTCATAAGGTCTCAGAGTTCGTAATTTGATGGATTGGTGGGTACATACGCTTATATGTAGGGCCCATTCGACGTATTGTGATAAATCTACAGGGTTAATATTTAGTAACAAGATGGGCCATGTAATTGAATATGTAATATGTATGGAACTTAATGGGCTTTTGATTTTGCAGACGAGACCAAATAAGATGGCCAATTCATTTGATGATATAGTCAGTTCTATTTTAATATAAATTGATTCTTATATATTATACTATTATAAACGATTTACACTCAATCTTTTTATACAAATGGGAAAATGTAAATAAAACATATATGTTTATTTAATTTAAGGACAAATAAAACAGTTAATTAAAACCTGTTTTGTGATATGTAAGTGTATATTTTTGTGGCTGAATATACATTGACCTCGGACTAGTAGCATTTCAGATTCTGAAAAGCACTAGTTGTATAAAAATTAAAAAAGAAGGCTGAGTATGATCAAAAAAGTTTCTTGTTGTTCGGATGGGATACTCCAGGTTTATTTAGTGTTAGTTCAAGGATTTACAAAGCAATTGTAGGTTTATTCATCATCATGGAATCGTTAACAAATGAGGAACATATAATTTAAATCGGTGTTTAGTAAGTCTTCATGGGATGCTTTAAGGTTTTGCATTGAGCAAAATGATTTTGAATCGCAATTATGCCTTAACAAGTGATCCTCGAAAATACTGGACTGGGTGTATTGGACGTTTGGGCTGGCCCATTACTGACACAGGTATGAACACCTTTTCATTACATTAGCGACACTTATTTTCATTCTCTATTACAGCAAATTTGAATGGTAGTAACGATAATTTTTATATCTTAATATAAGTGTTTTAAGGATAACTGCACAAACAAAGATAATTTGATAATAATGATACTTTCACATTTGATAGTTAATATTTTATAATCAATCTTCGTTTTTTGGAAACTCTAATATAACTTAGTTTAAGTTAATTATACTTCCTCCGTTCTTTATTACTCCACTCGCTTTGACTTTTACACTATTCACCACTCCTCCTTTTACCGTCTTTAGAGAATAACATGTAAGAAAAAATAGATTCATGTATGATTGTAGGGAATACTTAAAATAGCAGCCCAAACTTGAACCCCACTGTGTTCATACACTTAAGCAAGGTGGGGTCCAAAGGAAAGGAAGCTAAAGCAAAAGAATCGGCAACAAGTTTTAGGAACTTATACACCGTTCACAGGGTAAAGGTTACGCCCCTTAACGATCCAGGAGATCGTTAATTCCAATAAGTCTGGAACCATGACTGGAAGTTCGGGGATGAATGTACAAATTCAACCTAAAATAGATTGAACTTGTCCTAATAATAGACCTCTACTTTATTCTTCTCGTATGCATGTGCGCTTTCTAACTAAAATGCAATCAATAGGAGTAACCATAAACCTGTTTGTCTATGTGTTGGTTGAATTTTAATGCACAAATAAAACTATTATTGGCGATCACTTGAATTATAATCATATTAACCCTAAACAAGATTATTAATTATCTTATTAAGCGTGATTACAAGTAACAATTCCCTTTAAACATGCATAAAAGGTATGATCAAGCAATAATTTAAATAAATATAATCAAGAAACATAATAATCATCATATTAACCATGACATTACTTATAAAAATTAATAGTATGGATCATAATTAAAATAATCACGACAATCATGTTAAAATTAAAGCATAATAATAGCAAGATCCTAGGCATGATACTAAAAAGATTAATAACAAACCCTAGCATGTCACTAAACAATAAAGATCAAAGTTTTAACCCTAAAACGATACTAACATGCTGTTAGAAAAGATAAAGGAAGCATCCTTTTAATCATATATTTGATATTAGAAATAACCCTAAAGATGTTACTAGGTGTGTCTAGTGCTAATGTATGAGGAATTGTGTTTGTAAAAGGGTAGGCTAGAAAGCGACAATCACGAAATTCTTGGTGAGAGTTGGTGAGAATTGATGAGAAGATTTGAGAATTGATGATCGAAAACGGAGGTTTTAGGAGGCTATTTATTGAGAAAATCAGTCGGATATGATAAAACAACGAATCAGAAGGAATATAGTGGCCCTGCGACTTGTGTTATTTTGTTTTGCTACTTGTGTTTGCGGCCATGTCTTTTTCTTATGGTGGCCCTGCGACAATCTATTTTTGAATTTGTCCTTAATGGTGAGCAGTCAAGTTTGTATAAGCAGGTTTGATCAAGTGATCGTAGCTAAAGGGAGCTAAAGTGATCGATTAGTATGCTATAACGTTTTGTAAAGTTGTAAATAACTCACCTAGATTATTGGGTTGTATTTATTGGGATTTTTGTAAGCCTTAACGCTCGCTGGGTTGTTGAGTGTGGCGGTAATACCTCCGATTTAGGAGTATGCTTCCGCAATTTTATTTAAAGGTTGTTTATTTTTCCTTTAATTCTTATTTATTTTCAGTTAGTAAATCGGGGGTGTTACAACACTGTCTATCGGGTTTGATTTATATGTAGAAATATACTCGCCCAATTAATCTACTAAGTGTTAATCTAATGTAATCCACGTGCATTTTTAATAAGATGTACGTTCTTTTATTGGCTGAAAGCTACATTGCATACATATAATTACATTGTATATCTCCGATCATGTTTTGTCTCCACCCTTAACCACTTCTACTTTTGTTTATTTTCTATCTTCTAAAGTTGTTAATTCTCAAAATTTTTTGAATCGACCCTTAATATTTCCTCCATTATTTTACTACTCTATCCACCCAAGTTACCTTGAATTATGTTAAAGTGAATTAATCGCCTCATAAAACCCAATAGCACTTACTTTATCTTGATTTATTAATATCTCTACGATTTACAAATAATTTGACTTGATATTTTTAGAACTTCTCATATCTTATAAGACCTATTTAATTGACATTAGTGTCCCTTTTAAGTCGCACGTGCAGTCTAACCCTTTTAGTATATATTTCTTAGCGCACTCATTTACTAATTACATCTCTTTTTTCTTATAACAACAAGATTTACCTTATTATTGAGATATGTCGACATGTATTGGATTGAGGGGTGTCTTGTGTGGTTAGTAATGATAGCAAAGTGCCAACTACTACCCTAATCTTAAATGATTTTGTTTGGCGATGGCAAATTTTTCAACTTCTATATATAACGCATGGAAAGCTCCTTTATCATGAAAAAAGACTTTTCATCTTGAATTCCTTTTTATCATCATCCTACACGAAAAAACAAAACCATTTCTCAGAAGCTAACATGCCTCGTCGTGCCATTACCAAATGCTTCAGTCCCGCGTTGTTGTGTTTCGATCCTCCTATGGGAAATATTCATGAGTTGGACTTCACACAATATGAGTATTTGTTTGTCGATGATGACGGTGAAATTTTAGCTACATTATCACATGAAACTATAGCTGCCCTTATACTCCTCCCTAAAAGTCGTAACAATGACTTTTTCACCACACTCCAAATGCGTCCAGTCGGATCTAATAATCCGCCTAAACCTGCCCATTTTCCTAATATTTTTGACACTTACCCAGTTCGTGATGAATTTCAGGTTTACCTGAAATGGTGTTTGGGTACCTTACCTCCATCAACCTACAATCCTCATAAAATAGAAAATGCAATGCATGTTTTGGATCCTAGACCTCAATTGAACTTTGACTGCCCTACATGGGAACTAGACCATGTGTCTATCCGGGTGTGTGTAGGGGCGTACACAGACTCTTTTCAGGTCTTTAAGGTTCCCACATTTCCTCATATCCTTTATTTAAGGGTTATGAATGTAGCCTTTCGTGAAAACGTACCTGGGTATCATAATGTGGATTTTACTCCATTTACAGCCAAGGAGGCTGAATATGTCATTTCGGGCCATTACTCCCCCATCCCTGCAGAGTCTCGTGTCTGTTGTTGGAAAGTTAGAGGCATAGGTAGACCTTCACTCATTGAAAACTTTATTGCAATGCATAGGATTCATAAGCCAACTGTCGTTGTTTTATTAGAGACTAGACATGGCTATGAAACAATTCGAATGCTTGTTAAAGAACTTCCTGGTAATTATTGTTTTGGGTATTCGGCTCCAAAAAATGGTCTTTGTGGTGGTACAGTTTATTTATGGAATGATAATGTGGTCACTACTGAGCCAAAGCGATGCTATTCCTCATCCACCGTCGCAAATGTTTACTTTAAGGTTTTTTTTACTAAATTTTATATAAGTCCCTAATTTCATATTATTAGGATTTTAATGTCATTACTAACCCTTGTTTTTAATCAATGCACAGGGTCATCCCGGATCAAGGAGATGTTTGTTTTAATCGGCAGTTGGTGGGCTCTTGCTTTTCTACCATATTTTCATTTCCTTGTTGTTATTTGCAATTTTATGAATTTCGTCTAGTACTTGTAACCCAACTCTGCATGCGTGCATGACCTTCTCTATCAGAATTAATAAAAAAAATTCTGGTTTGATTGTTAACCTTTTTGTGAAATAATTGGTAAAATGATACTACAACAAACCATTTATTTAAACGAAATAGCAAACACTCTCAATACATATGATAATTAAACAACACATTAGCTTGATACAGATGACACAATAGATAATACTGTTAGTGCTACCACTACAACCATTTAACCTTTGCGATCTTCAAATTTGAGTTGCAACCCAAGCCGCTATCTATGAACAAATCATAATGAAGGTTAGGATGTTGTTCCTCCTGATGAGTGACATGTTTTTTTCACATAAGTTTGCATTAACCGCGGATGATTTGATTAATTCGGACTTAAGAGCATGGTTCTCCTCAATTAATTCCACGTTACGGGATATGGTTTTTTGCAAATTACTTTGCAAATCATACATAGTATTGTTGTAGGGAAAAGCATCACTAGATTCCCATTTAAAAAATCCACAATCTTTAGTCCTATCCTGTATTAAAATGAACGAAATTATCAACAAGGTAGTTCAATTTGTATTTACTGTAAATCAATTACACATAAACTTTATTAACAAATATACCTGCCAATATGGACAGCCGAGAAACGACCTTCCCGCGTTGATACCTTTTCTAACCACTGAAACCTTTGCTGGAATTCCATGTCTACACTCTACTTGTTGAGTGCTACTTCCAGTTGATAAGGAAGGAGACGCCATAGCTTAATCACTTTGTTTCACTAGAATTCCTTTTGTGATTGGATGTAATGTAGTGTTACGATATTCTTAAACCCCTTTACCTTCTTATATTGCTCATGTTCCACTCAACACATGTTAGTTGTTTCATGTTTAAAAAAAAAAAAATTGTGATAACACAATAAATATTACCATGCTTATTCGTAGGTGTCACTAAAATTGATTTCAGAGGTTGGCATTTCCAACTACCTATTTGACTAATTTTCTCAACAATGGTGGACTTTATCTTATTTTTTATCTTTTGTACTTGCACTAGATATTATTCAATTGAAAAATCGATCGAATCCGATCCGAATTGATACGTACATAATAATATATTGTGAATTATTTCCGTATATAAATTTGAAAATAAAATTTATAACTAGTTTAAGGAAAATAATCTTGAATCTACAATGAAAACAACCAAATAACATATCAACATTTTTAAGAAACTTAAAAAAAAACATATAAAATAACACTTAACAGGGAAAAAAAATTAACAATCTTGAATCTGCAATTTAATCAATCAAATAACTTTATCTTTTAATTAAAAAAAATTAAAAAACAAACAAATGTCATATCAGCATATTTAAGAAAATTGAAAAAACCTAAAAAAAATAAAATACGAACGCATCCTAGTAATCATCGAACTAGGGACCTTCCATGCGTCCATTGTTTATTTAACCAACTAAGCTCGGCGCCGAATATTGTATATATTTGTTTTGAACTTAATATATCATGTTAAAATAGCACATGTCACCTTTTAATTTGTTAAATGAAAAATTAAAAAAATGGATATCATGTTAAAATATCACATGTCATCTTTTAATAGGTTAAATAAAAAATTAAAAAAATGGAGGTGACAATATTGTAATGTAAATAACTTAAGTACATATTCTAGGGAAAAGAAAGCATTTGTGCTTCAAGTAAGTGCGAGTACTCCAATATTGTAAATGACGACATCGAAATCCAACCAAGCTGTAATGGGACCACCTTAATTACAGGAAACCTACCCCATAAATACACCTGCAACGATATCCTTCACTTGAAAAAATATATCTATATCTACGTTATTTATTTTTCTACAAACATAGAGTTTGAAGGAATATAGAGATATATAAACTCTGCAAATAAAATCTATCATGTATTGGTAGGGACCATTCTCCTTTTTTTGTGAGTATCCAGAACTAATAGATATATTGATGCAACCCCATTATTTCAATATGTCTTAGATAGTGATAGTCCAATAAAGATTTTTGGTGGTAACTTACTCATATTGATTGAGCATCATTCTTGGCAATCAATATGCACATATGGCGTATGTTCTTAAGTTTGTAAAAAAATTATTTTATACTGCATTTGGCTATTGTAAAAGAATATAGTCCTAATTTTGTAATAATTACCAATACATAATATGAGGTTTGTTATTAGACGTAGTTTGTTATTTAACCAAATATGAATTTGTCACCTTCATCATTTTGCGTGTCCGGTGAATAAGGGACAAGGTAGATCTCATACTCGTCAAAACGTCACATAAAATTAAAATTGAAGGTAGATACCATTAATTTCTACATCCTTTTTTCATATAAAAAAAATCATATGCTTATAATAACTTTTAAAACAAGATCATATCATGATTTTTGTTAAGTACTCGTAATGCAAAACAATATTTGAGTGAATAATGTTCTAGAAATTTGTTCAATGAAAAAACTTATAGCACTTGACTTTTGGGTGTAAATAAAAGATAGTAGAAAACCATCCTATCAAAGTAATAAAAAATTAAATATTGCAGCTTTGGGTAAATACGGGTAATAAATTCATTGTAGGAGTTGAGCTTCTAATAAATTCTAGATAACCATCAAATCATAATTTAGAGATGGTACATAAAATCTATGATTTTAATTTTAGTAAAACCATATCTTTTAACAGCTGGAAGTACCTCCACAAACTAAATTAGGGGTGTGCATGATGAATATTTTTATTTTGCGCTCAATAGATAGGATTTTTCTTTTGGTTTTCGGAGCAAAAGTAGTCATAATTTGATCCAATCCGATATATTAGTGAAGTGCTATTTTTCCTTACGATTTGATACTAGCTTCTTTCTTAGACTAATCGTACAACAATCTAGGTTGTTCGAGTCGGATAGTTGAATCGAAAATACGATACTTTAGGCCTTGTTTGGCTATGTTATCAACTAATATGATATTGATATGTTGTTTTAAAAACAAAGAATTAAGAAAATATAACAACAAATAATAATTAACATATTTTTGTGGTAAGTTTACAAACTTGTAATGATTTTTATAAGGTATTATGTCTCCATTCATAGCATGTAATACACAGATTAGAGAGAGAAATAAAAAACCAAAAAAAAAAATTAAATTCCACAGATATGCCTTAATAATCCTTAATTTATGTAAATGCTTGTTTCTTTTACGGAAAAAAGTAACCCTTAACTAATACGATTAGAATAGTCAAGATTAATACGAGTACAAAAATTCCAACATCAATTCAATAATATCCCAATGCAAAGTCTAGGATATAACTTAATTGTGGTATTAACGTTGTTAGAGGATATGTGTTAATTAAATAAATCGAATGTTAACCATGTTAAAGTCTTCAGATAATTTTTTTGTTTAGATGTATGTTAAAACCAATTAAATCTTCATCCACAAACGTTAGTAATCCAAATTATAAACTAGCAAACTTTAATAGCTTGGCTAAACTTGTGCGGAGGATCTTTAATCCCTCAACATCTCCTACTTAACTCCCTGACATCTTTAACTTTGTATTAATAGTAGCGCCGCGTATAAACAGTTCTCTGAGGCAAGTAATTATTATAGTTGAAACTTATAGATAACTGCTTTCAAAGCGCCACATACGGATTTCATTTTGATTTCCTTCGCCCAAAAGTTTGTAGCTTATGGTGAATGCTTAGCTCAAATTGCGGACCTCTGGACAATTGACATATAATAAAATCACATATACAAGCAACATTAGTCAGATGTGATATATACGGGCTCTTATAAATCAATTTTTTTAAAGCAAAACATTTTTTTTGGATAAAATGATGTAATTGAAAAATATAATTACAATTCCACAACTAAATATAGTAAAATGAGGCCAAATGGTAAGATATATAATTGTGCTTGCTTATTTTATTCGTGTCGAGAGTTTTTTTTTAAAAAAATTTTATAAATGCCACGTCTGATCTTTTACGTACTATTATTTAAACAATGTAATTAATCATTACATTAAAAGTGAGTTAAAGTAATAAAGCGACAGGACTTGATACAATTTACATAGTTTTTATGATCTGGATTAATTCCTTAGTAACGAAAATCAATCTAAATCAAACATAATGGTTTTTAAAAACGTAGAAGGTAAAAATTAAGCATTATTGGAAATTTAAGAGGATTGTCGGTCACATTTTAAAATTTTAAAGAAAATAATTAAGGAATAATGGGTTTTTTGTGAATCCCAATTTTATAATTTGTATAAAAATAAGTAGGGAATATATGTTCATTCCATTTTTATAGTCTTTCATACCTTGTATTATTATTTTCTCATAATTTGTTGACTCCGTCAACGGCAAAATTATTCACCCGGTCATTGTCTAATACTTTCAAGTTAAGCTACTTAACAATGTTTTAAAAAAATAGGGTCAAAATTGCACAACCATTTAAATCAATTGTGCACACTCAATGTCACTCATGTCATGCACTCCTAGGGTTTTATTTCTATATAAAGCGATCAAAATTCACCTAATTTCATCACACAAATCTCAACTTTCCTTCTCCACAAAGAACAAATTTTAAAATGACCCCGAAGAGAAACAATTACTTTCCTCCCCCCTTCCCTGGTGGCTACCTTGCCTTTCCTGTGAGGAGGCCAAGAAGTGGTAGGCATTTCCCCCCACCAAGGGGAACCATTCGAGCTCTTGCCATGCTTGCTGAAGCCGCATCCGTGAGAACTACAAGATCTCCTACCCCTGCTAGGAATGAAAACCAATATCAAGTCGTTAGAAACGACGTTGTAAGAGTTTCAGAAGTTGTGAATCCTGATCTCAACTTACCTCCAGAAGAGGAAGATGAGAATCCCCCGGAACCTGTTCAGTCATTGCCGCCAAACGAAGGGCACCATCACCGCCAACTACTGCATCCTTTACCAGTCCTTCCGAATGGTGGTGTGCCGGAAGTTTATTATGCTCTCCCCCGAGTGAATGGTCGAGGGTTCCCTTTCAACTTCGTGGAGGGAGATCCACTGTACACCATCAGGGTACGTAGCACAAATCTACATGATGTTGGTATTCGCTATTCTCTTCGTGCAACAGAATCCATGTATCATATATTCCAAGATTATTCTCAAAGAGTGGACCTCGAATCGGGGGAGATTGTTATTAAGCGGTACAACAATGTTGTTTCTCGCTTTGAAACCGCGTTTTCAGCTGGACTCCAAGACGGAGACACCCTCTCCGTAGAACCTCAGGTATATATACTATATATCCCTTACATATTAATTTTAATTGGTAGATAACGAGTAATATTATAAAGTGCAGTTGAGTAGATGGAAAATTGTTGTTAATTCATTTAAATGATAATTTCCGTTGCAGTTACTCCTACAAATAGAAACAAAATTCGTTTAAATAAACATACGAATTCCGCATGTGATGTACAACATTATATTTCTATACATAAATTGAAATAAACGTGATAGTATTGCAAGTATATAACTTGGTTTTGATGTTGTAGTGATTTTATTGGTCAACAATTCTTATGAAAATCCTTGTTAATAAATGGATTAGATGAAATCATGAGTATTCAGAAATTAATGAAACATAAATAAAAAACTTACATTCATCTATTTTTCCAATTAACGTTTGAACGAAATGCTTATTAATAATGCTTAGAAAACAGATGTTTTTTTTTTTAATAAATCCATATATATGTTACAAAAGGGTGATGTAATAATTTCTTTCAAAAAAAGGGTGTTGTGATAATTATGTTTGACTAGAATAAAATAACGAATTATTTCAATGATATTGTTTAAAGCATTTAATGAGATAATGGTCATGGTTTCTTTACATTTGTGAAAGATAAAACTTATATGTTGAATAAAACAGGGTCTAGTCAACTAAGGGTTGCATACAAGTATAAACATTTAGTGTGTCATATAATGAAGTAGACATGTAAGTGATTTAACTTATGTATTTCGAAGTATAATAAAAAAGGAACAAAAAAGATTTATCTACTTAAATATAAAAAATAATAAACGATGTAATATTGTTCATGATTAATATCTATCTACGAGTATATAATCATGGAATATGAGTGACTAAGCGATGGTGTTTCGATGTTGAATAAGCAGAAATGTTCTAATAACAGAGTTAATAAGATGTGATAACTGTGTTGTAGGAGAATGGTAACAATGTTGACACCCGGTTTAAGGAATTCATGATACAAGACTTGGGTTCAATTCCTAAAGAGCTTAAAGTTAGGGCAGTCCCTAATGATACACTGTATGGTGTGTGCCAACTCTGGGCAAATCGAAACAATATCCATCCTCGTAAAATTATTACTTTTTATGATAATGGAGTTGTCACTTCTCTCGACACCGTCGCTGAAGCCGGAATCAAGAATCAAGGCCGCCTATACTTATTGTCAAATGACTGGAGGAACCCCTGGTTGATTTTAATCAATGCTGAAAAATGGTGTAGGCATCTAGTGCTATTAAAATAATAGTTTTACTTATGGTGTGTTAAGCTAAGCAATATGTGGTTTTGCGACTAGTATTTAGTCTAATCTCTCGAGCTGCATTATGAATTTTTCTCCACCCCTCACCAACCCACTAGTGTTATGTAGGCGAGAGTATACGTTAGTATTTAAGTGTGACTATAATGTAGTAGCTTGTTATTGCATTCTTAGAGGAACTTGTTATGTATTAAGGGTATGTACTCGATGTTATTAACTTGGTAATGTACTTCATCTTAGTTTGTGGGACTAGATATAAATGAGTCAAATGTTTAATTACATTATGATTAATCAATGGTGTTTTTAACTTAAACCAAATTGAATTTTGTGATGCCAATTACAAATAAAGTAACAATACTAGAAGTTATATAAAGTTATTTTCTCACAAAAATATAAGTAGTTATATAGGGGTGACAAATAAATCAATAGACAAATTATTATGCGTGTGCACATCATTCGTATGAAATCCGAATTCCAATCCAATCAAAACCTAATTATTAAGTCGGAGCAAATCTTAAACTCAATTCGTTTGTAAAATATTTGACACATGGCTCTAACAGTTACTTCTACATAAACTATGTTAGTGGGACTATCTAATAATTAATTAATGAGGTGATGTTAAATTATTGAAATTAATAATGATTTAGATGATTTTAATAATAGTACATATCTATTTTAATAATCGTTTTAGACGCGATTTTTTATTGTATTATAATTTAGATATTCTGATCGAACCCAAGTAATTAAATTAAAATTCGGATTGGATTGGGAGGCATAAACAAATCATATCGGTTTGGAGAATTAGTAAACCATATTATATTTCGGATTATAGCTGATATGTGCTGCATCCAAGTCTATCTTGGTACTTTGATCGACTACAAATTATTACAATATCCCTGATTGATAAGCTGCCTATACGTACCAATCTTAGCACTTCTGACGATTGTTCGAACATATAATCCCATTTCACATTTATTTAAAATGAAATGAAAAATGTACAACAATAGCCGAAAAGAGGTTCAAAAAGGGTTGAGATTGTCAATTTAAACTTATTTTTTACTGGTGAAATTAGCGAAAAACATAGTTGATCCAATTCATGCTCATGTTATAGATGTTGCTGGCTACCCAATGGTTTTTGACCAATAGATCCTGAGGAAGAGGATTTAAGGGAACTGCCTGGGTAAATTGTTCTTTTACTTTTGTTCTGGGCATGACAGTAATGTTATTGCAGCCCAACCACTTTCATGAGTCCTAAGGGCCTATATAAAAAGGTGACCAAAGAAGTTAAGCAGGCATTCCTTTCTCAAAATAACAAAGTTTTGTAAGTAATTAGTTGAGCTTGGGGAAAACTTCATGGAAGGTTCATCCTACAACAGTGTTGAAAGAACTACCTATGTGAAGTCCAATGTTTTCGTTGGACCAAGAGATCGGTTGACGACTCCTGTGTTCACTGGATACGATCCAATTAGAGCTTGGGGTTCTAGGCAAACGTCATTGGACTTTGACGAAATCCTGAGGGAACGTGAGGAAGAAGAGTATGAGATAGGTGAATCAGAAATTGGAGAAGGGGAGGAGGAACATGGGGATATGATTTCACTAAGAAACCTATTGTTGCTCCTTCCATATTTATCTCCAACAACTGATTTGCCGATTTGTAGTATGGATGAACGTGACTGGGAATTGAAGATGTCTCCAAATTTAGAGGGACCAAAAACAAATTGGAAATGGGTCGCTTCATACAAGAGTATGTGGTCAAGTGTCACTAGGAAACTAAAGAAAGTGCGTGTTGGTATGGGGTGGATGTTTAACCCTTGGTTGAAGAGGTCTCATAAGTGGAAGGAGTTGGAACATGTTGCCGAAGACGAAGACGGCGTTGCTAAATGCAAAAATACTGGTGGACATGGTCATAAGGCAAATGGTTTGGGTTTCCGCGTATGTTTCAAGGCTTGATATCGCGTCTCTCATTAAAAAAAATGTAAGCTATCTAAAGTCTTTAAAGTCGCACCTATTAAACATATTAGCATCATGTATGCGTTTGAAAAATAGTGCTTTATTCTATATGTGAAAATTAGCGTAGTATTTTTTTAGCATTGTATTAAGGTTCTATGGGCTAAACTATCTTCAATTTGTGTGGTTTATTTATGAAAATCAAGTTTGTGATTTAATTTTTTTTTTGTTATCAGATTTAACTAATGGTATTTTCTATTACGTTAATTATGTTTAAATGGTTGTGTACGCTTGGGAACAGCTGCGTTCCTGGTTAATTGGACATACAATTCAACAATATTAATTAGGATTTTTAGCATTTTGGGCGGTGACGCAAAATATGAACTTCCTTTAGAACAAGATCATATCCATATAACACAAACAGATGAATTGGTCTGTCATGCTATTTCATTTTACGCCCTGGTCTGTTGTGGTGGACTAACTGGATTGGGCCCAATGCAATGCAATGCAATGCGTTAAATAGGTTTACAGTCAAGCAATTGTAACACATAAACAACCAATTTGAGTTTTACAGCCAGTTCATTTGATTACATAAATTAAACCAAAGAGTAGAGTCTATACATAGGCTTGAGATAAACAGCGTAAAGAAGTTAAAGGTGATTACAATAAGCATTAGCGCAACAACGTAAAGAGATTAAAGGTGCATTACATAAATTCAAAGTCGTAACACTGTTGTCTGTGGTCGCTTAAGAACGCTTGCTACTCCTTCCTTTTGGCCTCCCTCTGCCCTTATTCGATGGCACCGGGTCTTTAGTTAGGGAGACCGTATAATTAATCTCATTCGCTGACGAACAACTAGCATTTGGCACCTGTATTGTAAAATATTAATGTACATATTTGTTTTAAATTGTGAGGTTTTGTATGAAATGTTTTTGCTAATAATGACAAATAATCACAAACTACCTGTCCATTGTTGTGTCTAGCCTTTTTGTATCCCATACTAGCTAGGCCCTTGTTACATGATCCTTTTGGCCTCCCTCGGCCTCTCTTATTAGGCACCGGGTGTAAAGGAGCAGTGCTAGGTAAGAATGTATCAGGATTTGGATTATGCACCGTAGAAGTAGTCCTATTCTGAGACGAGCATCCAGCGTTCTGCACATGTAATCCAAAATAGTTTGAAAAATGTTGTTATAAATTGTGATGTTATGTAAGAAAATTTAATGCTAAAAATAAAAAATGATCACAAACTACCTGTCCAAAGTTGTTGCTAGCCTTTTTGTAACCACTACTTGGTAGGCCCTTGTTACGCGATCCTTTCGGCCTCCCTCTGCCTCTCTTATTAGGAACCGGTTTTATAGGAGCAATGTTAGGTAAAAATATATTATGAAGTGGATTATGCATCATGTAAGTAGTCCCATTCTCAGTCGAGGATCCAGCATTCTGCACATGTATTCGAAAATATTTAGGAAAAAATTGTTGTACATTGTGAGTTATGTATGAAAATTAAAAACAAAATAATCTAAAACTACCTGTCAATTGTAGTTGTTAGCCTTTTTGTATCCAATCTCAGCTAGTCCCTTGTTACGCGATCCTTTTGGCCTCCCTCTGCCTCTCTTTTTAGTCACCGGGTCTTTAGGAAAGACTAGGTTAGGATTTGAAGTATGCACTGTAGAATTAGTCCCATTCTCATCCGACCGCGTATGCTCAATATTGGCGGCACAATCGCCCGGTATTGTATTAGGGCCCGTTTGGTCCCTCTTGCGCTTACTACAGGCGCTAACCTTGGATTGAAGTTGATCTAGTGTTGTGAGAACGTTCTTAACCATACCATCATCCACCATTGCAGCCTCCTCGCAGCTTTGCTCAAATGCATTCATCATCATGTTATACCTTTTCCACACCCCAACCTTTGAAGGATTATGGTAGGAAGCCTTAACTCTTGTGTGCTTCCTCAACAAGTCTTTTTGCCAGCGTTTTAGAACATACCTTTCTGGAATGTCAACAACTTGATTAAGGTCAAGAATACGAATGATGTGCCTGCAAATTATCCCGTCAGTTTCAAATTTTCGGCAATCACAGCAAACTACTTTCGTTTCAGTATGGAACGTAGCCGAATAAAACCTCCTCCTATCTGTGAGAACAGCCTCACTCTTTCCCTCTGGAACAATCCAAACCCGACCTTCGATCAGATACTGAACTAGGGTCTCAGAGAGTATATTCTCTTCACGAGGGTAGCAATACATTAATCTGCGACACTCTATTCGGACTTCTTGGAACTTTGTGTCTGTATATATTTTTTGGAATAACTTTTCAACCGCAAAACCGGTGACTAGTCTTCTAATGTACTTTCCACATTTAGCATCAGCATCAGTCTCATCATCAATTCGCTTCTCCATTGCTTTGTCGTATTTCTGTGGAAACTCAAAAAGCTTTGTTTTTCGATTCAGAAATCCATCAAAAAAGCTGTTGATGCTCTCTACCCGTTGTGTTGTCTTCATATCAGCCCAGAAAAAGTCCCTCATAAAGGCCGGTACCCACATATGTCGTTCCTTGTACAATATTTGTAGCCACTCATTGGTTTCCAATTTGTATTTAACAACAAATTCACTCCATCTATTCTCAAAGTCCTGAATGGTAAAGCTTTCATATATCAAATACTTTAGCTTGCTTTTAAAATCTTGATACCTGCAATAAAAAACACATAATTCAACCATGAATACACATACATTTATTAGTAATAAACACTATATTAACCAATTTAATCTACTATGTTAGATCAACAATTACCCATCACATTTCCCTAGCTTTTCCGGAAGTTTTCTCATTATGTGCCATATGCACCAACGGTGTCTCGTTGTTGGCATGACCTCCTCCAGTGGTTGCCTCATCGCAGCTGCCTGATCAGTCAAAATTGCTTTTGGAGCATTTTCATTCATATAATGTAGCCATTGCTGAAATACCCATCGGAAAGTATCACAGTCTTCGTGTGATACTAAAGCACAACCAAGCAGAATTGATTGACCATGGTGATTAACACCTACAAAATTGGCAAACGGGAGATCATAGTTGTTTGTCAGATACGTTGCATCAAAACATATAACATCACCAAACTCTTCATAGGAAGCCCGACTCCGAGCATCCACCCAAAGAACGTCCTTTAACCGTCCCTCAGCATCTAACCGATGTGCATAGTAAAAATTCTGATTCCCGCCTTGCATTTGTTGAAAAAAATTTCATTATTGCAACTGAGTCTCCTCCCTCCATTTCCAGCTTCCTACGCTTGTAGACCTCATGCTCAAGGTCCTTTACTGTGTACGATAGAGGGTCAGAGCCAGCCAGCTCCGTGCCCATACACCCATGAATTTGCTTCACAGGAACCCCTTTGTCAAAATAGTTATATAGCGTCTTCCTGTCTCTTGTATTAAAGTGTTTCATTCGATACTCTTTGACAAGACAAGTATCGGAAGGAATAGGAGCGTGGCCTGTATGCTCCAACTGCACTCTCCTAATTACCCATTGACCTTCCCGATTAATACTAGCATAAATATTATCTTGACACTCACATTTCTTCGACCTTCGTTTACTACGACTAAGCTCATCATCCCCCACAACTCCACCAATGACTCCACCTGAACCACTCGCCTCCATAGCTTTTGCTCTCTTTTTGGCTTCTCGTTGCGCCCTCATATCAGGTCTGCCATAACACTCACACCTCCATGTCATAGATATCCGATCCCTCACCTCACCCTTGGAATAGACACCTTGCACCCTACTTACTCCAAATCCCTTTTGCTCAGCATACTCCATATAATATTCTTCGACCTCTTCCCATTTCCTAAATATCATCCCAATCTTTGGTTCTTCCAAATAACTAACTACACAGTCATGATTACTTTCTACTACTATTTGTACTGACTCAAATGTTTTGGTTGGTGATACGTATTGCATCCCATCATCATTGACTTCATTGGGTTGTGTTATCTCACCATCGACAGAAGGAACCAACACACGACAGTTATCTTGATACTCGATCAAATCATCCTCCTGAACCAAACCCCTACGACCCCGAACACCACTACCCTTATCTTGGACTCCTACTTCATTGCCACCACCAATAGGAGGAGATTGTACACAATTCTCCATGTAACCAATTACTTGTATATTTCTGCACCTACAATGAATCACAACCATTTATATAAAACACACATGCTTGTTAGATTTTAGCAAAATACAAATGAAAGAATGGCATAGCACTAAACAAGCAAATACTACATCAATAATCACAATTTCAAACCAAAGTACTAACCCTCGTCCATAGTATATATGGTCCAATTTAATAATTGAGTATATCAACATAATAATCTTGTTCAAAGTCACTGAATATTAGACACTGGCATGATTACTTAATATACTTGTTTATTAAAATTATTTAATAAAAAATTAAACTAGAATTATCCATATGATATTGCAACTTGTAAATAAGAGCTTTACCCTCCAGACCCTACAACATTATACGTCTAACTCTATAAGTAAGAAGTTAATTCAAGCAAGCACTTAAAATGAAGACACGAATGGCATCCACGAAAATGAAATTCATCGTATCGATTCACTTCAGATAATAACACTAATTTGCATTGAAACTTCCCAACATCATCAGCATACAATAATGGCTACCACATAATCTACACGTTGATATGGCAGTCTCTACCCAAATAATCTTTTACTCCATAAATTTTAAGACACCTTTCACCCGAATAAAAACTAGCTATTTATTTGACAAATTTCAAATAATTTGTATATTCATAATAGTAGTCAGCTCATTATAAAATTACATAAATCGAGGTGTAATTCAGCTATATCCTTGCAATGTGAGTTAAAACTGATTAACAAGTTGCACAATTCAAATTATATCCGAATATAACCTTCACTAATGCACAATTACGAACAAATGTTGTAGATCTTACCAGCAAACCCGACTACACGTTTACAAAGCCATCTTTGCGAAAATGTTCATGCCACCTTCCTCCTTAAGTATCGTTCGATCTTCTAACACCCATAGGCATTGATAATCTTTAAGCTTTCCCCCCTTTCACCCGGATTTAGGAGACAACTACTAACCATCTTACCATGTGCTAATGACTTTTAGCAATTAATGAGACGTTTCACAATGTCAACGAAAGGCAAACAACCTTTACAAAATATTTGTGACGGAGTTTTATTAAACGTTTGCACATGAGTCACCACCACCTGCCTTAGTGTCCTCCAACATCTCCATTAGACATCCTACTTGTACATGTCACTGTTTGCATTAATTACGAGCATGCCACAAGATGAACAAGCCCCGTTCATCATAAAGATGAATGGGGGCGCCCTCTTATTAATATTAATAATAATAAATATTTATTAATCATAATAATATTATTAATAATAATTATAAATAATAATATTTAATAATTCAAACTATTAAGAATTAATATTTAATAATATTATTAATTGATAATTTCTAATAATTATAACAATTCTTTCAAAAAAAGAAATAATAATAAAAATAATAATAACAATTAATAACAATTTCTTTTATAAACATTTGATATTAGAATCACAAATTGTAGAAACATTTTATGTGGGTATTAATTGTTAGTTCATTGAGTTGAATTATTTTTCAAATATTTCCAAACATTTTAAGATTTTTTTTTTAAAAAAGAGATTGTTTTTAAGTAGTACTTTGTATATTATTATTATTATTATTATTATTATTATTATTATTATTATTAGGGTAAAAAAAAATATGATTAAGACAAAATTATAAGTAAAATCATTATTACTCATTAAATCATTTTATTTTAAAATTTTTGTGAAAAAAATATAAGTAAACCATTGTTTTTTTTATCTTTCTACTATGAACATATGTTAAATATGGTACACATATATTTATGTTTTCACTCACCTAAATCGTGTGTGCACTTAATAATAATAATAATAGTAGTAGTAGTAGTAGTAGTAGTAGTAGTAGTAGTAACAACAACAACAACAACAACAACAACAACAACAACAATAACAACAACAACAACAACAACAACATTAATAATAGTATTAATATTAATGTTGAAATCTGCTCGGCTCGGCTTTGCTCTGCTATCCTGAAATCTGCTCTGCTCTACTGACCCTTGCTCTGCTCTACCCAAGAGCTCAAAAGAACAGGGCCTTAGTACAGCAAGAGCATGAGATTAGAGGTTCATGACGATCCAATTCCTGCCACAGAGTATGAAGTTTTCCATAATAAACGGAGACAAGTATTAATTTAGTCAGCTCACAATTTGTAATTGAAGATTGCAATTGTTGAATGCGAGGACCATTAGTTTGAGCAAATCTTTACTTTAGGTGATCCTAAAAAGGCTTTGCTTCTCTGAATTTTAATAAGGTTAATTTCAAATCAGGGTCTATTATGTTCGTTATCCGGGAAACATTGCGTTAATCGTCGTCCAATCAGACTTTGTGTAAGGAGGTGATGGTTCATTGATCGAGCCATCTAAAAATTTGAAATTTCGTCGAGCTTCCAACGCTGTTTGAATATAGTCCGCCCAAGATTCATAATTATCAGCACAAGGCGTGTAGGAGTGATGAAATCCCCTGGTCGATTTTGCGAACTGAGGTAATAAGGAGAATTGGGTTCAATTTTTGTAAGTGGTGGTGGTGGTGTTTCATCACCGCCAACCATGATTAAGAAGAGGAAATCATAACTTTTGTCCTGATACCATGTAAAGAGAAGAACTTTTAGCTTACTTTCATTGGCCTCATAGGCTGAATATTTATAATACATGCAGTTAGAGTCCTAAGCTTACACAAATTCGTGTACCACTAGCTTTAGGAAATAAAGATAGACATGGAAATAAATATTATCCTAGGAAATCTAAATATTCACCAAATCTTAGGATTTCACCTAAACATATCTTAATAGATTGGCCATCATCAAAATTTGTAATCCTACTTGGCGCGTTAAGAAAATTTAATCCAAAGTGGCTCTCTAAAAACTCGGAAAAAAAGTTATATATTTAGATAAAAATTCCTAATTTAAAAAATAATATATTATATTGAAGGAAATTTTGTCTAAAACTACCCATTAAATAACACTTTTTGTCTAAAACCACCCACAATAAAAATTGTTGCCTAGGACCACCCAAATTAAAATTTATGTTGTCAAATGCCACCTATCACTAGAAATTAGACCTTGATTAAATTTTCCGGCGTTGACCCTAACACGTGCCTTGATTTCATTTTTTTCCCCTTTTCTTTTTCTTCTCTTCTCTCTCCTTATTCTAAAACCCATCCTCTAAACTTCATCATTCCATGGCCTGATTCCTAACCTTTCTTCATCTTCTACTCCTCTCCCCTTTGTTTGTCTTTAATTTGTTAATCAATTTCATGTTCATTGTTTCTTTTTTGCCCCAAATTAAAGGGGTTGATTTCGTGTGGGTGACATGTTTTATCAAGGTGGGATATGAATTAGGGATAATTCAAAGGATGTTGCTGCTATTGAACAATGGGTGATAAGAATTTCAGAACTTAAGAAGTAAAAATGGAGATTGAAAAGAGAATAGGGAAGAAGAGAAAGCACCCAAAAATATTGAAGGAAAAAAAAAGGAAGGGGGATCATGTGCAAGTCATGTGCCTTAAGTCAACGCCAAAGTTTATGGTAAATGCCTGCGAAATGTTGAGTCAGGTGGTCATTGACAACAAATATTTTAATTTGGGTGGTGTTGGGCAACATATTTTTTAAGTGGGTGGTTTTTGATAAAAAAATATTTTTAACGGGTGGTTTTAGACAAAATTTCCTATATTTAATTAATTTAAACATTCGCCAATTTTGCTTTGTGGCATTTGAATTAATTAATTTGAAAAGAAATTACAAATCTCTTCTTTGATTGGCTATCATTAAAATTTATAATAAGTGTGGCGCATTAAGAAAATTTAATCTTAGGTGTCTCTCTAAAAACTCGGAAAAAAACACCCTTTTATATATACTAGTTTTGCATCCAGGCGATGTACAAATTGTTGATAAAATTTTTGGATAAACTTTTTGACTTTTGATAATGAAGGATATTTAAATTAAACATACGATATTCTATCTCTTATTTATAGAACAAAAACTTTTATTTATATCAGGGTAAAATAAACTTTATAATGGATATACACTAATTTACTACACATCCGATGTTTTTAAATGTTTGTTTTAATAGAATAGTGTATTTTTTGTAGTTTTGTTTGTAAATAGATATGTGTGTTATTATTGACTTGAAATTATTGTTATTAAACTTAAATTATTTTTACTAAAATGAAATTATTTTTACCAAACCAAAATTATTTTTACTAACTCTCTATTATTTTTTTAACTAAATTAAATATAGGAAATATACACTTTAATAATCCCAACTATTAACAATTTACTTCTAATAATCTCAACTAAGGTTTACTCCCTCCGTTTTTAAATACTTGCTCCATTTCTATTTTTTTCACTATTCATTTATCCTACTTTGACTAGTGTTTGTGATTTATACATAAGAAAAAATATAGTCGTTTGGGTACTTGTTATTAGAATCATCTCAATGAATAGATTATTAATTTTGGGGGTTGTTAAACGTCGCTCCCCTTTTATTAAGCATCGCTCGCATTTTTTTTAGGATTTTCTATTTTTACCCCTATCAAACAAATACCCACGACTCATTCCACGGCACTCAGAACTCTCATACTTCACTCTCATACTAATATACAAAGGTTACAATAATAATATACAAAGATTAATAATATACAAAGATTCTAATATATATAAAGATTACTAATATACAAAGATTAATAATATACAAAGATTACTAATATACAAAGATTACAATAATAATAATAAAATAAAAAAAAAACTAAAAAAAAAAAACCAAACATGACATCCGCCCAAAAATTTAGGATCCACCTAGGTGGATCCTAAATTTTTAGGTGGATTTTTTATTTCAAATTTTATTTTAAAAATGTACGACGACTTACATAATTCTTCGACGAAGCTTCCGGTGTCCGAACGTTGTCGTCATCCATGGTCCTATACCCGTCGTTAATGCTTAATAATTTTTTTTTTTTTAAAAAAACAGATTTTTTTGTGGTAGATCGAATGTGGTGGGGTCGGATGTGGTAGTGTCGGGATTTTT